TCTCTCTCTCTCTCTCTCTCCCTCTCTCTCTCTCTCTCTCTCTCTCTCTCTCTCTCTCTCTCTCTCGCTCCTTCTCCCCAACCTTAGACGTATCCTCGTCCTCCTCGTCTCCTACCATCCTGATATATCAGAAATTTTACACCTTGCTTTCGACTCGACCTCCACTTCCGGAACGCCCAGCTTCCTTCCGCTATGTTCTCTTTGGGTGCACCAGGCTCTCTCGGACCGTAGGCACTGTGGGAGATGCTGGTATTACCGATAGCCAGGAGATCATCTTCAGGCTGGTCACCTGCTTTGGTCTTTAAGATCGTCCCACTGTCCGAGATACTCATTCTCCTTGTGGACCTCGTGCACCAGTTTTCTCGATCACATACTCGCTTGCTATGCTTGTCATTTCCGTTTCGTTTGATATGCACATTGTAATCGGTTGGACCCCTTCGGATGCACCGCAGGAAGAGGGTGTGCCGGGCCTGGTCGAGGCCGACTTTGAATCGCTTCGAAGGAGAATCCCCAAGCTGATCGAGTTGAGAACCCCGATGTCATCTTCGCAGCGGAGCCACGAAGAGGTCGCTTTCGAGAGTGGGGCTCTATGATCTCGCGCATAGCACAACCGGTTGTCTCCTCTTTTCAATGCGAGGCTGCATGTGTCTGCAGCCGTTCGTGTGCGCGCGGCTGCACGCCTGTGCGTGTGCTCGAGAGTCGCGAGGCTGTTGTGGTTGTCGGTTGTCGGTTGTACGGTTGTATACTCGTTCACATTTACTTAGCGCCGATTCACGTGCATAATGGGTGGATATCTGTAACTGCCAGTGATCTTTAGGAGTCGACAGTCAAATTTAAATACTTTGAGAATTATCAGAAAAGTGCATACGCGGGTGCACCAGACTCTCTTCAAAGATTTTTTAAATATATTTTTTTCCCTTTCTTCACGCATGTCACGTAATTCCGTGCAGTTCGATTTTACGAGATCTTTCAGCCGGGGTTGAGTTTTGGGAACTTTTTTTTTGTGAAGCCTATATGGACGCGTGTCGCCCAGCCACCTTCTCAAGGCTTTTAACCTCCGGAGAGTATTCGACCTCCGACCTGGAACTCTCGTAAGCTGAGCTGCAGTCTAGCCAACCTGCTTGAGTTAGTTATGATGGGTCGTAAAGAGACAAGCGTGTCTAATAGGTCCCCGATAACGTAGCCCAATAAGATCGCTTAAATTATCACCTCGGGATGCAAGAAGGATTCGATAAGGCACACGTGTGGTCCACCCAGGATGTATAATTAAATGCGTTTATCTGTTCTTCGCCGTATTTGCCCTATTACCGATTACTTAGATTACTTCGACTGATTTTGAATGCCTTTAATTTCGAACGGTTCGAGATATCGAAGCGATCCCGACTTCTCTGGCGAATAACTTGAAGCCAGCAACTCGACTTTACCTCGACTTGAGATAAGCCGGTGGCTGGAAAGAGGCGTGTACGAGGCGCGTGCAGAAGGCGCGTAGATCGCACGAGCGAAATGTCTTTCCAACGTGGGAAAGTGGCGTGGTGTGGTTTCCTGACTTTCACCGGTACAAAACGAGAGGACGAAACTCATAGAAGTCGAAAAGCGCAAGGCCGAGCGAGCATTGATTTCCCTTTCGAATCGATGGGGCTTACAAGTGGGCTTAGGAGGAGGGCCGAAAACTATCTGGTCGAACTAGATTACCATCTAGATTGGCAGTTCGCTGATCGAGCGCGGGAGTGCCAGGAACTCGTTACGATTTTAAGTTCGATCTCCTGGATAAATATCCATTCGCACCGATTACGAAACGTTTCATGGATATTCACACGCCGCGCCCATCTCGTAGGAGCCCTGGTCCACCTCCATCTTTGATCCGTCGATGATTTTCTCTATTTTCTTTTCTAGATCCAGAGCACCGTCTCCTACGGTCGGATCGAGGATGGGTCCAGGTGGCGGAGGACCAGCCGGGGACCTTTTCGAAGGATTGCTCCCAGGACATGTGCGCAGGCGCGAGGACTTCAGCCTTGGCCCTCGTAATCGTGGATCCAAAGGTATAACTTTTGAAATCGGATCCGCCAGATATTTCTCGGCGTCCTGGACCCGGGCTGTGCCCGAGTACCGGAGTACCCGGGGACGGGCCCATCGTCTCAGTTACAATTTGTGTTCGCACTTAAAAGAAACATTACCCAGGGATCCTCGAGCAGGGATAGCGGGCGCCCCGTGTGTGGTCCTATATACCTCGTGCGACCTTATCTCCAATCGTTTGTTACCAATTCGATTGGCGCCGTTCCAGACACCTCAGAGTCCCCCCTTGAACCGGGCACCCTGAGTCCCGTCACAGCCACCTCGATGGGGCCTGCCTCTCAGAACTGGGTCCCTTTTTTAATTACCTCCTTACAGATAAGTCCGCATGGGAATCCAGAAGAGGGTCCACACGTGCCCGAGGACCCGGTCCCTTCGCTTGCTTCCCTCAAGCCTGGTTCACAACGGCGCGCACGCTGCCCCGTGCGGATCGCTATAATTTTCATGCAACGTGTTTGTCTCATCTGCTGCGCGGTCGCTGCCCGGCATGAAGAAAGTATCACACCGAGGACACACTGGTCTCCCAAATCCTGACAAAGTGCGTCGCCGCGGGAATTACCATTTCTGCCCGTTTTTTCATCTCCTACCCCCCACCCCCCCT